TCATGTTAGCAGATGACTTTAAAAAAGATTTATAACATTGATCTGATTGGCCCCTGAGCCTTAATGTTAAAAGTGTGCCACAGGATCGCAACGTAAGACATGGATGCAAATATTTTTCTCTGAAAATTCATTTTAGAGAACTGGCAGAAATTAAACACAGAACTCGTTTGCTTTGGGGCGCTAAATGACCAGTACGGCGCCTTTAACATCACGAAGAGTGGACTTCTCAAGACGATGAAGCTCATCCGCAAGTCGGGCTCGGTCAGATGCAACCCGAGATACCCGGAATCCTTCTGGGGCTGCTCAAATGTACCATGGTATGGCAAGAACAGCTTACAGACTATCATTACCAATGCAAAGAAAGAAGCCATCCTGCCACCTGCTGGAGACCTGAAATTACACGGGTGTAACAACAAAACACATTTTTACAGTCTTAATGGAACTACCCACACATCTCCTGAGCTCATTTTCCCGGACCTTCCTAACAAGCTGCCTGTGTCACGCAATCAGGAGTTGCAGATATGGTACGGACAGGATTGGAGGGATTGTAGTGAAGATAACAACGATGGCGCAACGTGTGTTGATGTGTATGCGTGGTACGCTTTAACATGAGTATCTGACTTATCCGAAGCAGTAAGTGCTTATAGCCACTGAAAAATTAACGTAAACGCTGCTCATATTTATCTTCTCTTGTATTGAACCTTGTAACTTAGCGCATAAATGCAGGAAGACATTCACGGAATGGAATGCTAAGAATTGTAGAAATATGAAAGTAGCGTCGAGCAATTACCAAGACGACGAAGCATTGTATGAACTATACTTTTTTTACCTGGCTGTAAGGGCTAATGTAGTAATTACACATCTAGGCTGTCACGAATAGTTTTTGAAGCTCTACTCTTTCTTCAACAGCATTCTCATTCCAAACTACAGTACATGTATCAAACATTAAGTATAAATAGCAATAGTTATCGGAATGTATGTTAATTAGTTTATACATTTGCATTCTTTGTATCAAAATTTACTATTCTTGCTGTTAAAAATATTAAAAAAAGATGTTGAATGTTTGTAGTGCTCGATGCGCTTAGCTACAACTACCTACAGTTCTCAGGCATGCCACTTAAGGAAAAGCACATTTTTTTCCAAAACTTTCTTTTTTATCCATAAATCTGTTCAACTGACTTAAGTCTCTAACGAGCAACATTTGGGCCGGTAAATGATCTTATGCATTTTAGCTTAACCATAACAGGCTTAAAAATCCCAACAGGTGGGAGGCACTCCATTTGGCTATTTACAAGCATAACAGAGGAGTTGAACTAGGGTCTGTCGGAAAGCAACTCCAGCTTTAATAGTGGTCAGAGCGAGACTTGAGCCCGCGACCTCCGGATTTCAAGTCCGGCGCCCTAACCACTCGGCCACGCTACCTCCACAGATGTTACAAGATGCCTTGTCTCCAGGTTGAAGTTCATTTTCGTGGACAGGTCTGCTATCCTGTAATGCATGTACCATAGTTTTTCCAGAGCACTGACTTCGTTCAGGCTCTAATACTGGTCTCCTTCACCATGTGCAAATCTTGACTGGTAACCCGCCTCCTGGCTGAAGAGCTGGCGAGTGCTAGACAAGGATTTAAATTTACTGATTAAATATCGGCCGTTTAGCGATTGAACCGTTGTTGATGTAATGTTTAAGAAAGTACCTGTAGTCAATATTTTAGGTTCGTTAGTAAAACTAGTTACAAGTTGTGATTTAGCTCTGTATTGACGTGGCAAAAGCATAATCTATATTGAAAGACCAACCTTTCTAGAACTTTCTTGGAAAAAACATGAAGGCGTGAGTTCACCGCGCTGTAACATCACTTTTCATTGAGTGTTTTCTTTATTTGGAAATTTCACTACGTGTTTAGCTGATGCGATTGACAAGCAGCCGTTACTATACAACAACGCAATAACAATGGGCGAGGGAGGAGGGTACTTCCGTATATTTGGAGTAGGTGCCGCGAAAAGTTTTACTGAACCTCAACCCAAAGCCCTAAGAACGAGGTTGACTAAACCCCGACCCTATTTGAAGACGATCCAATTGAAAATTGATACCCTATTTAAGGCCCAAACCAAGAGGAAATGCAAACCCAAAACATGGCACCCTGTTCAAACAAAAAAACAAAAACTAAGAATGGCCTGAACAGGTCAACTTTATTTTGTTTTGGTAACATTGGAAGTTAAGTATCAAGCAGATAATTTGTTTTTCGTTTCGCTGGAAATTTACGCACTGGAATTTTAGTTAATATAAATTATACCCTGTCTAAGGATTAGGCGGAAGGTGGGAGATGATTGACAGTTAAGGCTTCACATCGGACGGCTCTCAGTGAAAAGCCTTTCCCGAAGATGGCAGCTTTCTATTCCATGTCAGTGTAACTAAACCGACCGCGGATGAACGGATGAAGAATAGGAACGTGAAGGAAGACTATCTTCCGTGATGTATGTGGAATTTCGAGGCGATTAGAGCATTTGGAGACCTTTCCCTTCAGTGGACTCGTTAGGCTGGGATCACTCAGTACCCAAACTTTGGAAAGGATATCCAGAGGACAAAATAGTGAAGCT